TGTTTTGTTTTCTTGCTTGGTATGTCAGCAATCAAAACCCATTCTATAAATGGCTAGCAGTTTACTGACATATACAAGTCTGGAAAAGGACTGGAAGTAGGGGTGGAGAAAGAGCAGGTACACCTTACTGGGAGAGTTAGTTGTGGCAGAGGTGGAGAGGTTGGGGGCTGGGGGACGAGAGGTTACCGGGTGTCAGAAGTTTCAGGGGGCTATGTTGCAAGAAGTGCTACTGAGGCCCAGCTGTGGCTTGTGCCAAGGAGCTCATGCTCACTGTTCTGACCTAAGGAATTCCTGGTTGACCAAACTGTTGAATGCTTGACTACTAGTTGAAAGGTTGGTGGGTTTGAACCCACCCAGAAGTACCTTGGAAGAAAGACCTGGTGATCTGCCTCTGAAAGTCCTGTTCAGCCCAATTCTACTCTGCACACATAAGGTTGCATATAACAACAACAACAAACAGATACATCCAAGATGTCCCTGGGTGGTACAAATGATTAAGCACCCACCTACTAACTGAAAGGCTGGCAGTTCAAATCCACCCAGAGGTACCTCAGAAGAAAGGCCTGTGATCTAACTCCAGAAGATCCTAGCCTTCAAAACCCCGTAGAGTAGTTGTACTCTGCACACATGGGTTCACCTTGAGTCAGAAGCAGAGTATGGAGATGAAGAACAACTAGAACAAAAAGGTAGAATTTGCCCAAAAACAAAACTCAGAAGGCAGGAAAGAAGGGGGAATCCCAGGGAGGAAGGAGGAGGACTGCTGTTTTATTGAAGGCATTGTAACCAAGGTTACGAAACACTATATGGATTCATTGTTGAAAGGGAAATTAACTTGCTCTGTAAACTTTCTTCCAAACTACCATAATAACTGTAAGAGAACAAGTGTAACATATCATTTATAAATAAATGTATCCACTTCCCATTCCTGCCCCAATCCTGGTGTGAAGCTGTAGGATCAGCACTGGACTTTGAACCACAAGGTCGGCAGTTCAAACCCACCAGATGCTCCTTGGAAACCCTATACAGGATCACCATGAGTTGAAATTGATTCAACAACACTAAACAACAACAACAACCCCTCCCTGTGGAAAAAAACCCAAACAAAACCAAAATGCCTTAGGGCAGGGCCTAGGATATCCAGACATGCTGATGCTGGGAAGGAAAAGCCACCCAGTACTAGTACTTGGGTGGTAGGAAAGGGACCCGTTTTCAAATACCCTATTCCCCCCAGTGCAATGTCATATGGTTGGTATCCCTAGAGTTTGGACTATCCCACACCAGCTAGCTGACCCAACTGACCCTCTGAAGAATTTTGAACAGTTAAATAATGTTATCCAAAGGGAACCAGGGAAATAAACTCATGTGGAGGAGTGGCTGATGGCTTGAAAGGAGGTACGCAATGTCGGAATGAGAGATGATTAGTGCTCACGAGCCAAGGATGGACCTGAGAGATTTTCATGGGTAGAATCAATAGGACATGATTGATTGATAAGGGCTGAAGTCCAAACTTCTCCATTTAGGCGGGTCACTCCATCCTCAAGTCTTGCCCCTCTCTGTTCTGGCTGGTTCCTGAACGGTCTTGCTTTGTCGTGGAGCCCAGTCTCTGAGGATGTCATGCTGGAAGACAGTCCCCTCACTCCAGAAGTCTCAGGCTTCTCTGTCTCTGGATCCGAGCACCTGGCACAGAGCTTGATGCTCCTCGTATATTTTATTGATTGAGTGAATCAATCAATAAAAAGCGATGCAGGGTGAAAGGGAACGAAGGAAGCACAGAGACAAGGAATGAAGACATGGGGGGCAGGGAGGGGGGGATGCTTTCAGTCCTTATTATAATCACCCTGCTCTCTGATGTTACATATTAATCCTCACTGGAGCAAACACTGCTACTTTGTAGCAGGACCTTGACCAAGTTCCTTTGTAGTCAATGTTCTCCCAAAGTTTCTCTTCTGTAAAATGGAGAGCCTAGCACCACTTGCAGCCTGCGCTTATCCTCATCTAGGAGTCCCTGGGTAGTGCAAACATTTAATGTCTCAGTTGCTGACCAAAAAGGTGAGAGATTTGAGTCCACCCAGAAGCCCTCGTAAGAAAGTTCTGGCGATCTACTTCTACTCAGTCATTGAAAACCCTATGGAAGAATTCCTGGGTGGTGCAAATTTGGTAAGTGCCTGACTATTAATGAAAGGTTGGAGGTTCCTTGGAAGGAAGTCACGACTGCCTGTCAATCTGCTCCTGAAAATCCTGTGGAGGTTCTACTCTGCAGCAAGAATGCTAACAACAAAAGCCATATGGGACACAGTAAGGACCCCTGGTGATTGCAAAGGTTAAGTGTCAGTGCTTGGCTGCTAACGGAAATGTTGGCTGTTCAAACCTACCCAGGGGCTCGGCTCAGTGGGAGTAAGAACGGGCAATCTGTTCCCCGTAAAGATTATAGCTTAGAAAAAGATTATAGCCCTATAGGGCAGTTCTATGTGGCCAGCATGTGTTGCTATGAGTCTGAATGGAGACTCTGCGTCTAACAAAGCTGGAGCACAGTTCTACTCTGACACACATAGGGTCGCCATGAATTGATAGCAACTGGTTTGGGTGTTTTGGGGTTTGTGTAACTAGTGACTACCTTGTGGCTCACAGTGATTTTGCAGTCCAGCGCATCAGCCCACAGAGCCAGAAGGAGAGCAATAGTCCTGGGGTGGCACTGTGGGCTAATGCGTCAGACTGCAAACTCGTTTGAATTGCAAGGTTGGTGGTTCAAGCTCACCAGTGGCTCCTTGGAAACCCTATACAGGGTCAGGGCAGGAGAAAGATGAGGCTTTCTGCTCCCATAAAGATTCACAGCCTTGGGAAGGGTCTCTATGAGTTGGAACTGACTCCACGTTGCTTAACAACAACATGGGTCGGAATCAACTTGAAGGCACTTAACAACAACAACAAGTGAATACAGGGGTGTGGCACCAGTACCACCCTGACCTCTCCCCAGGTTGTCAATTGGATGGTCACCTGTTTCCTTTATCCTTGGGTCTCAATCAGGAAGTAGAAGACACTCTTTGGCTCTGGCCTCCCACCACGCTCACTGATTGTCTGAGTCATCGTCTGAGCCTCTATTTCTTTATCCTTTTTAAGAAAGAGAATGGACAGAGAATAGCTTGAGTCCCAACCCGGGTCCCTCTCCCTCCCATAGGATCCAGGAAGGTGGTCCTGCGGCTCTGCAGACTGTGCCTAATAATCTAACAGTACTATGCTAAATCTAACGGCTACACAGGCCAAAGAAGCTGTCAGCTTGGTAGCTCCGAGTCTGCGATGCTGGCAACACGCTGGTTAGGCCGGCCAGCTCACGCTGATCAGAAGCTGCGAAGGGCAATTAGATGTGACTTTGATTAATAAAAAATGGGGCAATGAATGAATGCTTAATCAGTGCAGTCTGGCTGCTACTCTCTCAGAACCCTGGCTGGGGGTGAGGTAGGGAGGCATCAAAAGGGTCATTGGGGGTGAAAAGACAGAAATCCCTCCCAGAGACGACTCCTGAAAAGCTTGCCGTCTGGCTTCTTGGTTCTGTGGCTGGGATTTTCTAGAAGCTCTGGGAGGTGGGCAAGAGGTGGGGAAATCTATGTTTGGTGTCGACCACGTGGGTGAGGTAAAGCACTCGGAATGGGGCTGGTGTGTAATCGGACGGGTTTGTGTGTGCTATGGGTTTGCGACCTTTTCCGAGGGTCCGCCACCTAAATGGGTGAGGGGAGAAGGAGAGGGCAGGGGACCTGGGAGGCCGAAAGGGCTGGGGTGCTGGAGGGGGCCGGAGCGCAGGAGATGGGAAAGCGACAGAAAGAAGTGAAGGAGGCGCAGGGAGCCGCCCGCCTGAAGTCCCGGCCCCTTCCGGGCAGAATTGGGGGTGCTGGGAGGGGCGTCGGGAGGCTGGAATCCGAAAGGCGCCGGGCGCAGGAGAGGTGAGAACGCAGCGCGGAGCAGGTCGGTAGGGCGGAGCGCAGGGACGGGGACCGAGGCCCAGCGATGGGAGGGGGTCCCTGGCTCCCCCCTCGTGGCACCTCTGAGAGAGGGTGGCTGACCTTCTTTGGGGGGCCAGGGACGGCCTCCGGATCCGTTCCTGGGGGATCTGAATGACCGGGGGATGCAGGGGGAGGCCTGGGTGTGGTCGCGGTAGTACTTCGTTTTTGGTGGTTCTGGTGGGGATTTGGAATTTATTTGGCATCCGATTGGCCTGGGCTGAGACTAACTTCACTGTGTAACCTTGGACAGGTTGTCGTTTTACTAAACACCAACTTTGCCGACTTGTTCTGGGAATTGATGGCAGCATTTACGGTAGCTGGCCCAGCGGGCCCCTCCCTCGTGCTTGGATCTCAGTGGCTGTTGTGTTTATTGTAGTGGACTGTCCCTCTGCCCCATGTGACTTTGGGTCAGCCATGATCTCTGTAACTAGAAGTTGCCTCCTGGCAACCTCAAGTCTGTCTGAATAGAACTGAGCTCTGTAAAGCTTTCAGTGACTGAGTTTTCAAAAGTAGATGGCCAGGATTTTCTTCCTAGGTACCTTTGAATGCACTGGAACCCCCCACCTTTGGCGTAACTGTTTTGCCACCAGGGACTCCTGAGGTTGCAGGTAAGACCTGTCTTCTCGGTTGCCCAGGTTGTTGTGAGACACAAATGCAATGATTACATTAGATGTGTAGAAGTCTGCATTTATACCCAGTGGCTGTCAGCGGCGGATACTCTTGAGTTTGCTTCCTACAGCTGTTTTTCACAGCTGGCCTCCACGGCCTCCAGCCTCCCCACAAAGATTCCTTTGTGGGCTACTACCTTTCCCACCATCCTATTCCAAGCAGCCTCTGCCTTATTTTGCAGAATCCAGAGAATTGTCCACCCGTGGGATCTGCCCAAGTCTGAAGCAGCCGGAGCCAGGGAGCCGCCTACTGGAAAGGACTCGCAGAAGGAATTTTCCAGCAAGCAGACTCCAAGTCTTGCAGCTTTTGTGGTCATTCCAGGAGGAGTTCAAGGCCATGGCAGTCCAGGGCTTGGCCCTTCGAGTGGCCACCTTGTTGACAGGGTTGCTGGAATGCCTGGGTTTTGCAGGTGTGCTTTTTGGCTGGGCCTCACTGGTGTTTGTCTTCAAGAAGGAGCATTATTTTGAGGACCTGTGTAAGCAGGAAGATGAGTTGGTGAGCGCGAACAACACCAGCATGAACAACAGCATCACACAGCAAAGTGGTAAGGACACGGACGCTGATTGCTCTGGAGAATTTGAGACTGGCGCCTCAGTGGTCCAGTTAAATGCTTGTCTGCTTACCGAAAGGTTGGTGGGTTGAGCACCCCAGCCTACTCCATAGGACAAAGATGTTGCTGTCAGCTTCCATAAAGATTACAGGCTTGTCTTTTGTTCTGACTGACTGAACTCACCACCTGAGGCTCAACTCCCAGTCCAACAATAGACAGGCCTATAAAGTGAACAAACACCTGGGGGGTGTGCAGGTCTTAGAACAATCAGCCCGAAGATATCAAAGGGGCAGCATTTGCCCTGAGCTAAAACTCAGAAAGCAGGAAGAATTAGGAAAGGAGGGAGAATGGGAAGAAGTAGAAGAGTTCTATTACAGTGTGAGGACAATTCAGGTCACCAATCCCAATTAGCTCTGTAAACGGTCACTCCAATCACAGAAAGTTTTGGAAACTCTGGGAGGCGGTTGTACACTGTTCTGTAGGGTCATTATGAGCAATGAGAGTTTGTTGGTTGGGATTTTTTTTTTGGTCCCAGGCAGTTGGGTCATGTTAGGAAGGACTCCACCCCCTGCTTTCCCTGCCAGCCTATTTATAGTGAGAGGAAGGGACTGGTTAGGAGATGCCTGAGAAGAAAAGTGCCCCATCCTCAGAGGTAGCTCCAAACCAAAATACAGGGTAGATCTGAGCTCTATAGGGCTTTCTTGGAGCTGCAATGTTTATGGAAGCAGCTCATCATGCCTTTCTTTAGCAGAGCCTCTGGATGTGTTTGAATAGCCAACCTTTCAGTTAGTAACTGAACACAAAGTCTTTCTTTACCCCGCTCCAGGACCTTTTGAGAAGTAGTTGGGTAGGTGGGTGAGGTCACATTTCAACCCCGTTTAAGGAGACATTCACCAAGTTGTCCAGGATGGATAAGACTGTCCAAGAGGGGAGTCTAAGCAGGGTGCTACCTGACAAGAAGGTGGGATGGATGGGAGGTGGGTGTCTGAGACTCCCTCTTCTGTCCTCAGAATGCAAAGCCCAGGATGAAAGGTTCTCACTCATCTTCACACTGGCTTCCTTCATGAACAACTTCATGACCTTCCCCATTGGCTACGTGTTTGACCGGTTCAAGACCACTGTGGCCCGCCTCATAGCCATGTAAGTCCCCAAGGCCCTGCCTGGACGGAGGTGGGTGACAGGAAGCCTTCCAACTGCAGCAGCCCAGTTTTGAAGGAAACCCAGGTTGAACCACTGGGCAGCTTGGCTAGGTCCTTCACCAGATGCATGCTTACCACGGAACCCATTTTCCTGGAACACACGTTCCCCTGGGAACAGCTCAAGTTGAAGACCACCTCTTCTTCTCCTATCTCAAACCCTGCTTCCTATTCCTCATCTTCCCATGTGCCAGATGAGCATGTATACTGTGTGATATGAGGAACTGATTAGGAAAGGCACTGGTTGTTCCTGGAAAGCTTGTCCTGGAGTCAGGGCCATTGACTTCAGCAAAACCTGAAATGGTCACTCCCCACCTTCAGACCCCGGGGCCCTTGCCCGCATCTCTTACTGGTCTCAATGTTCAGGTCCCTCAGGTTTACCATTCTCCCAAGGTGTAGATAAAACTGGGGAGTTCCCAAAAGTTCTTGAAAGAATGGAATGGAAAGATAATGAAAATTTTCCTTGTGGTTTTTTTTTTTTCATGTGTGTGTGTGTGTGAGAGAGAGAGTGAGAACCCTTTGTGTTGACTTTTTACAATAGTTGTCTCAGGCGTATCTCGCTCAGCATGTCCTCTAGGTTCATCCAGGTCATGAGGTGTTTTGCAGAGTTATCTTTCCACAAACTTTTTGAAGCCCCCCTCATAAGGTTTCTTAGGGGTCTCTGAAGAGGCCCTGGTGGTGCAGTGGCTAAAGTGCTCATCTGCTAACTCACTGACCTCACCTGTGGACAAAGATGGGGCAGTCTGCTTCCGTAAGGGGGACAGCCTTGGAAACCCTGTGGGGCAGCTGTCCTCTGTCCTCTTGGGTGTCTATGTGTCCAACTGGCTTGCTGGCAGCAGGGTTGGGTTTTTGTCTGAGGGAAGGGAGACAGACAGTGGGGTACTCCACACAGAGTCAGGGTAAGGGACTGGTTTACACGGGAAGGGGCCATTGATAAGCAGTAGCCTGCTGGACACTGATATGAGAGGTCACTGAGGACGTGTTTGCCCTCATTACCTGCCTCCCCCCAGTGGCAGACACCCTCAGAGCTGAGCACTTGTTAGAGATGAGCGTTAGAAAAGGACTGAGGGCGAGCTCTGTCAGGAAATGGTCTAGGAATTGTTGCCGTGGAGTCAGTACCTACTCATGTTGTTGTTAAGTGCAGTCGAGTCGGTTCCGACCCATAGCGACCCTGTACAGGGTTTCCGAGGGTGTAAATCTTTACGGGAGTAGAAAGCCTCATCTTTCTCCCGT